TACCCTACCCTCGGTAGGGTAGTTTTCTCAACCGAAAATGGCTTCCCGCCCAAACCAAAAGGGCCAACGCATACTACAAAACGGATTTCACGTCAAAAAAAAAATCTACAAAATGACTAAATCTAATAGGTTATTCTCCTGTATTTTGGTACCGTTAGATTCGCAATACATCAACGGCAGAGCTCCGTCCCACCATGCCACACGTGATAGAAAGCTCCGCGTTGAGAAAACTCAACGCTGTAGGTAGGACTAGACCCCTGGCACGCCGTCGTCGTCCAGGACCCCTCTGGTAGCCTTATTAGCTATTTAATAATTTTTATTTACCACTAGCGGCTATGAACTTTGCGAATTTGAAACGGAGACACCAAAACCCTGATCTGCTTTCTCATTGCAACCACTCAAGCGAACATCGAATTTCTGGGCCCAATTTCCCACCCTATAATAAATCTGGCTTTCAAAAAAACAAAACCAAAAAAAAAAATGCAAAAAAAAAATTTTAAAAAGAAAAAACATATAAAAAAAGTTTAAAAACATTGTTTTTAAATTTGAGGAAAAAAAAAAAAGAATACCAATATTGCGCATTGGCAACAGTCCACAAACACCCATCGTTCAGCTGCGCCCCGCCGGCCCGCTATCAAACGGGCCAGCTGATATATATATATATAAAAGTTTTAAAACACAAAATCTGGCTTTCAAAAAAAACAAAACCAAAAAAAAATCCTAAAAAAGTTTAAGAAAAACAAATATAAAGTTAAAAAACAGTATTTTTAAATTTGAGGGGGGGGGGAAAAAAGAACACCAATATTCCGTATCCTCGCTTGCGAACCTGTGAAAGCAATTTAAGCAAAACCAAAGAGTTGTGCCCGCCTTCAACCGTCACGATGAAAATCTGATGGTTCAAGGATGGTGCCATGAGGTTTCTTTCTTCTTCTCTGTAGCTTCCATGAAGTTTCTTTCTTCTTTCTCTGTAGCTTCCAGTGGGCATCTCAGGTGCAGTGCAGACCACCGAGTCGCAGGCAAAACGACGATCCATTGGAGCAAAAAAGGCAAGGATGGAGAAGGTTGAGGAGAGAGGGGGGGGGGGGGGGAAGGGCACTTCGAGAGAGAGTGGGCCTCACTGCACTACTCTCCAAATGTGCAAAATGAGAGAGAGTGGGCCTCACTGCACTTCTCTCCAAATGTGCAAAATGAGACTAAGTCCACCGCTCAAACATGGAAAGATACATTGCCATCTTGTTGTCTTTTCTGCATGAGGAGGGTACTGCAGCGAGGCCCAGTGTTTGCATAGGAGCTGTGTTCCAGTGGAACAAAAAAAGGAAGATAAATCATTGCAACTTCCCTCTACACACAGTCTCTCATGCCTCTCATGCTTATGTTGAGAGGCCCTTCGAGAGGCCCTTGCCAACCACTCCCCCCCCCCCCCCCCCCCCCCC